TTTCATACTGTACTCTCAGGGACCCTAAAAACCTCCCATGGACTGTTCAGAATTTGACATAGATCTTTTTAATTAAATTCCTAGTTGTTTACAAAGTCTCTCAGGGACCTTTTAATATCTCCCTGTTTGGCTTTCAAAATCTCTCAATAAATTCCAACATTCCCCACAAGCCTGACAGGGCTAAAGAGGTAGGAGTCCACATTTCAAATCAACAACTCTTGCAGAGAAAAAAAGTCTGGACAGTTGTTTAAGGTCATTGTGATATTTTGATGCTAAATCATACCGGCATTACTGAAATATGTGAGTATGGGATTTGTTAAAGTAAAGCTCGCCAACTCTCTTCCTCAGAAGCAACTTCCACCAGCATTTTCTGCTTATATTTTGATTTACGTTTGGGAATAAGTTTTATAGGCATTCCTCCCGTCGTGCAGTTTCTGTACAGTTTGCCATTCACAATCACTTCCTGTTTTCAGAGTGAGGTGTGGATCTGCATGGAGCAGATGGCAACCTGCCTAGAGAAACTTCTCAAGAGATTACGGGAACCAATCCCCGAACAGATCATTGGCAAGATGGTGGTTGCGGTAAGTCACCGGATATGAAAATGATCTCATCCACCCATGCTGGAACTGCACATGCATTGTAAACCAACTCTGCCCGGTTTGTATTTTGTACTCAAACATTCCCCCCCCCCTCCCGTGGGTCCCAAGTCCAGTGCAAAGTGTGAGAAACCCCAAGCACCAATTTTGTTGCAAGAAATGGCACTGAACATACATGATGTCTTTGAAACTCTTCGTAATGACTTGTTTCCCTGAAAACCCTTATCAGTCTTTTGTTTGTCAACTCTCAAAGCCTATCAGTCTCCAACGAGTTTGCTTGGGCCTTACCTTCCTCCATGCACAATGGGAAATCTTACAAAACATTCCAGTTGGCTCCCAAAGTTCTTGGTGTTTGGGTCAAGGTAATTAAGTAGTAACTCTTCTCACATCCCACTCTCAGAGAGGGTAGTGACCTGTCGCTTGTTCATGGAGAGTGAACAGACAGCCTGTAAATTTGAAAACCTGGTGAAATTAGAAGTCTGGACCAGAAGTGGAGTGACTGTAATTCTGTTGAACTTATTCAAGATGATACCTTTTTGTTGTTTCACAGATTGTAAATGCTCTGAATTATCTAAAGGAAGTACACGGCGTGATGCACAGAGGTAAGAACAAGGCATAGTGTGTATTGCACACATTTGTGAGTAGAGCAGACTTGAATCAAGACAAAGTGTCTTCAAGAGGCAGTTACCAGTTTAGGGCATAACCTGAAATTAAAAATTTGCATCTGCCTGGCCTGACATTCCCTCAAAAAGTTGACTATTGAGCATTTTATGTCAACCTGATCTTACTGCAGCATAGTTGAGGTTTCATAAACACCGACCCACTTGCATTTACACCTGTGAGAGCAGATAGCACTTAGTTATGTAATAGTCAAAAATGAAATTGCATGGAGGACACTGGAAGTTTGTGTCCTCTACAGCCACAAGAACACATTTCAGCGTTCCCAATAACTCATCTACATGTAATCTTTTGGTTTAATTCTTTTCAGATAAATTTTTCTTTTTAATCAGGCTCTTTGAATTTTCCAGGAATAGTTGACCTAGAAAGAACAAAAAGTTGGTTTTTGGAGGGACAATGTATAGCGAAAGCACAAAGAATGTCTGCCAACATTTTTCATTTTAAGAGCTTTTTCTTTTAGAAAGCGCCCTCTTGTCCTGCTTTTAGGAAAACTCAGTGCAGGCCACACATGCCCATGTTGATGAAGTATGCTGCCCTCTGTTGTTTAGAAATACTGTATAACTTGGAAGAAAGCATGTTTGTAAAACTTGTTTTGGTCGTTTTACGAAGTAGTCATTAAAGCTGCCTTGGACATGTTGGAAGGAACTGAAAGCATGGAAAGGGAACAAAACAGAAAGAAAAAAAAATGGTTGCCCCTGGATATAAAGGATACTGTTATAACAAAACAGTGTTATGAAGCACAAATTTGGAGAATAGCAATTTCTTTAATATTTTTTTTCCTTTCCCTTTCTAACAAAGTAATGTCTCCTGTCCCCGTGGTCCCTGTAACTTTGTTATCATGAGAGTTGACTGTTCAGAGGAAAATGTCATCTCTTATTGAACACAGTTACCTGCACATGATGAGATGTTACATATACACATGTATGCAGGAGCAATTTTGTGCAAATGTCATCCAGGGTTTCAAATTTTGTTTTTCACAGAAATTGATAGTGTTTGGGGCGCAAATCTTTTAATTTAGAAATGACGGGCATGTGGAAAATAAGCTTACCAGGATTTTTCTGGGCATGTGATTTTTGCCGGGTGGTGGGTGCAGTCCCTAGAAGCTAGATGTCCATTAGATAATGTCAGCAACAGTTTAGCAAAGACTTCTTTTGTATGAAAGCTTTTGCGCAAACCCTATGAGACTGCAGACTGGACTTAACATTTTTAAGTGTTGTCTATAAGTGATTCAATATCTTCACGGTTAAACTTGGCGTTATAAGATGTTTATCGCTTTCTGGTGGCTGGTTCATCTCTTGAGAGAAAAGTTACCTTAGTAATGTCTATGTGTGGAATCTTTCTCACTCTCACTTCAGTTTATAAATAACCAATTCAAGGGTCCACTGAAAGGGGATTACTGTCTTGTTTTTATCCAATTTCACGCAAGTACATGGATATGTATTTATGTACATGTACTTTGCTTTGTAACAGAACTTCACGAGTGCAGAATGAAAGATTTATATAACAGGTTTTGTCCTTACCCAACGTATATTAATAAGCACTGTATGCTCAGTGCTTGTCCGAGAGCTTGTGAAAAAACCTCACAAGCTTACTGGGGTGGGACTCGAACCCACGACTTCCTGCTTACCTTACCACGTTGGGTAAGGGCAAAAGCCCGTAAAATAAATTAACATCTCCCCAACGCAAAAATAAATCTTGAAAAAAAGAATGAAAGATATTAACATACATGTAATGCATGTACATTGTAAGAAACCAAACATACTCTACTGGTACACTGTACATTGGCCTGCTATATGATTCGTGTATGACTACATACAGTAGGTATGCTTTTTGTGACACCAACTTGAGAGAGTTTGCAAAGGTGTGAGTCTGCTGTGACAACAGGCAGCTTTACCTGATCCTCGCGAAGTCCACAGCGTAGAAGAAATCTCTGTAGTAGAGAGACATTTCCAACCGACAACAGAGCAGGATCATGAAATACCCTTCCAATTTATCAGTCTGTTGGCCATAGAAGCACTTCCAACAGTTTTAATCTTTCACGAAGCTTATTCATGGATATATTCACCAGTGCAGTGTACAGGACGGAGATTTCTCCTTGTTTCCACGGTTTTTGTAATGTAAAAAGACAACACTGACGTTTTTGGAATCAGGCCCAAATTGACTTTACAATCGAGCGACCAAGCCAAGCGCCCGCAGACTTCCTTTTTGCCATGCATCACATTGTGCATCACACATATACATGTGGCACTGCTCGTAAGCATTACTGTAAGTTCCCCCAACGTGAAGGAACAGCGTATTTGCACGGTGTGGTAAGACTCATGCACTGCAAAGCATACGTGGTAACGTGGTTTACTGGTTCCTGCCACTCAAAGCCAGTGACCTCAGCAATGCTATGAAGTTTAGTGTGAACTTGGACAACACAGAGCATGATGAAACAATCCAAACCATCGGAACTTTAGTTAATTCACGGAGAGCTAGAGTGTGTAATTTTAGCACTTGAGTATAGTCTGCTTTTGTTGCATCATCGTCAGGCTTGTGCATCCCCGGCCTGCCAACACTCCGATAATTGCACCGATAAATGTACGTGCACCTGTGCATTCTACGAAAATTCCACATTGAAACTTCTTGGAATGTTGTGACAGAAACCATATCACATTTTTAGAACTTGTGTAAAGTGTTAATATTTTAATTTAAGGGGTTTATCTGAAAAAAAGCAGTGGAAAGGAGAGTATTGGAAACAAAGTTAAATGTACATGTATACTCACAAATTGAAGAACAGCGAGGGACATGAACAACATTTTGTGACTTCCAGGGAATGCTGAAACAGAATCGTCTTTTCTACAAAAAGTGACCTTGGGTAGTGGATATCTTCAAGGGTGTCATGAGTGTGGGTGACAAAATCAGACCTACATGTATTAGCTGTTATGCGAAAAGTCAAGTCAGAGTGAGGTAGAAAATAAAACCTATTTTGTTTTGTTCAAATTTTCTTGTACCGGTAATGGTATACTTCTAAGTTTGAGAATGATGCATTATTCATATGGTTAAACCCGTGCCAAAATCACCAGTTTATGCTTGGCTTTAACAAATGTGCCTCTTAAATCCCCAGGAGGGCATACTATCCACCCCACCCCCCATTCTTTGCTTTGCTGGGCAATGCATCTCCCTTTGGGGTTTGTTTTTTTCCCGGCTTTTTCCTGTCTCATGCCTGTGTAATGGGGTAATCTTTGATCCTCTTTATTGAAGCTGGCAGTAAGGAAATACAGTGGCATTTACAGGAATGGGGAAAAAATGGAAATAAGTTATAAACCTGTTGTTTTTACCTTCTCAAGAAATGCTGTTTAAGTGCACTACGCGTTTGTCCTTTTCAAGGGGCAGTGGTTGGAACAAATCTCATGGGACCGTGGTTTGCATCGTTTGATGCAGTAACCTTTTTGTTTTAATAAGAAAAGGTTGACAGCCTTTTATGGAGGGACGCATGTCATTCCATGAAGCTCTACAACTTTAATACCAGTGTTGCTTCTCTGAAACCCAGAAGGGGACTAGGATACAGATTTGCCCTCGAAAAAGTTTTGCTTAGCACAAACAGGTTGCTCATCAACACTCTGCTTTTGCCCAGAGCTTGTGACTGATCCCCAACCAATTTAGGGCAATAATGGGGTATATTTATAAAGTGCACGCATCCACCTGCACCAAGGTTGGCCAATTGAACGCGCAATTTAAATCAGATGATTGAAAATCTTTCGTTTAAATCAATTTTTGATTGCAAAAAATATGGTTCCAATTTTTCAGTTTCCAACTCCCAGTTCCAGTGATTCTCTATATTTTAAATGGCAAATATACTTCTCTTAGCCCTTGAATACATGTAGCTGTAGCTACATTGTACACACAGAATGTTGATGAGAACGACATTCTACTTACATGTACACGTACCCCGTACATGGGTGGATGCACAGGTGGTCTGGGTTTATGGAGGGATCCTCTTTTTTCATTTCAATCCACATGTTTTGAGTAAATCAATAAGCCTTTTGGATTACATGTAAATGCATGAGTAACGTGACTTAAAATGTCAGCCTTTTGTGTTGAATGTGGCTTTGTACTATTTTAGTCCATGCACATCTGGTTGATAGCATTTTTTTTATTCACTGCCCTCTGATTTTGCATGCAGCCCCTGGTTAACAGAATCCTGTGAACTCAACCCTTCACAAGCTTTGAGCTCGGTTTAAAACCTTGTACTACCATACACATGTACGCATAGCCTTAGGCAATACTGTACATGTATCTGTTAAGTTAAAAGTCAGATTAACTGCCTACATGGATTTTCGATTAAAGTACTTGATCGAAACCTGTTAATGTAGAAATTATGATTCCTTTGATGTTTGTAACCAAATGAAAGAAATTAGTGAAGAGTAATTAGCATTTATCTAAATTTCCTACCTTTGGAACAGATGATTAGGCCCACTTGCCTCCAATTGAAAAGAATTCAATAAATCTGTTTTAACATGAAATCTGATTAAAAGAAAATGAAATAAAAGAAATAGCTAACCCTGACGAGTACCTCAGGGCCAATTTTATAGAGCTGCACAAAATTTGCTTAAGTGGGAAAAAAACATTGCAATACACAAAGTTTACCATCTCAAACTCTCTATGATTGTCATGCTAACCAAAAAACAGCTAAATACAATCCCAAAACAATATGCATCACATGAAGTTTTGGCTGGTTACCAGATTTGTCAAGCAAGGTTTTCTTGCGCTTAAGCAAATTTTTATGCTTAAGCAGCGCTATGAAATTGGCCCCTCCTGATGTTTAAGACAGAAAATCATGATTATCCCAGCTTTTTTCTCTCGTTTTCCTTTTCAGATGTCAAACCGTCCAACATGCTACTAGATGAGAAGGGAGTAGTGAAGTTGTGTGATTTTGGGATCAGTGGGCGGCTCGTGGACTCCAAAGCTCGGACAAGGAGTGCCGGCTGTGTGGCCTACATGGCGGTGAGTAGACTTCCAAAAGGGAGCAAAAAGTTTGTGTTTCATGCGAAAGGCACAGAAAATGTCGAGTGTAACACCGGTACCCCTCACCCTCCCAAGCCGTCCAGTGTCCATCAGGGGCTGGGCAGGTCTGTGGGTTAGAGGGATGCAGGTGCCGTTGCTTTCAGTGGGCCTTCTTGCCCGTTTGCACCTTCTGGCTTCCTGACCACAAGATTTTCTTGGAACATAGGAAGGTCACCATTTATTTATTTATTGATATATATTGGTTTATTTTATCGTTATTGTAGCCCAGATGCCATATTGCAAGAATGTTACAATATCAAAGAAATTAATTATAAAACAAAAATCAAAAAATACATATGAATGTAATGAAGGCTTGCAATAGAACCCTGTTGTAATTCAGCCATTACATGTAATATTGAAAATTTAAATATAACACACAAAGATATAAATAAGAATAGCTCAGTCACCACACATACAAATTATATTAAGAAATATTAAAAAATATCAGGAAGTACTCAAAAGTGTAATTAGAATAATTTTGCGAAGGGAAACCAGTGGGGAAAAAGGTTATTTATAGAGTTGAAGACATAAACATACATAAACAAATACCAAAAGTTAGCTAAACAGTCTTCAGCCATTTTAGACATTTCTGGAAAGGGGAGAAATTTGCACCTGACCGTGGTGGTTACTTGACTGAAAGTTTTCCCAAATACTCAAAATCTTGTGGCCTGGGAATCAGACTATTAATAACTACCGTATTACAGAGCGGCCACAGGGGTATTTTCGTGCATCCTCTCCGGGTGGATCCATCATTAGGTTTTGAAATTCCTGAATCTGAATAAAACACAGCCTAATCTTCCAGAGTGTCTCGCTGAATGTGATTTGAGTGAAGCATTTTTGCTCATCTTGGACATTTTACGGGTAGGGAGGTTTTTAGTATGAATAACACATCATCCAAACGCATGAATAAAGTCAGTAAGCAGCAAATTCAGGAATACCTCAAACTTCTCTGTTGGGGTTTCCGTGAGGACCTTTCATCTCTTTCAATAAGGACGGGACGGATGGTAATCCCATTTCAATTTTGTAATAAATGTTCAGTGGTAATTTCACACCTCGTGAGTCAGTGCTAGTCACACGGGGAGGCTGCATCGTGCAAAATGGACCCAAAAAAACGAAGAAAAAAATTTGGAATTCATTGGAAAACACTCTCCCGAGATTTAATCTACATTTGTAGAACTAAGGTGCCTTCAGTACTGTCTAAATAAAATAATCGCACCTGTACATGTAGTTTTATAGATTTTTTACAGGATGACAATAAAAGTTTTGTTGCCATACATAAACATGTTTGCTATATATGGCATCGACGGCTTGTACACCTACCGGTATATTAATTTTAAAAGCTTGGGTTCCATTTACGTTTTGGAACATATTGAGTTTCCAAAGATGTCCTGGTACCCCTACGGTACCTCGGGAGATGTGAAATTTTAACATGTTTAACAGTGGGTCTTGCTGTTGCACTGATAAGCAGTGCATTGCAATTGAACCTTAACCTCCAAAGGGGAAAAACTTTTCTCACGTTTTCCCATGTGGAAAAATGAATATTCATTTCACAAATTGTGAAAAAAATTTGCCCCTCAGTGGCAAGAATTTTCCCACTTTTTTACCCCCTGTGAAAAAGAAATTCACAAGTGGGAAAAGATTTCACAGCTGTTTTTTTTTACAAGTAGGAAAAGTTTTCATGGCTGCTCAAATGGGACGTTCCCCTGTAAATGCAAATGGGAATGCTTTCCACTCTTTCCGGTCATTTTCACTGGGTTAAGTTTCAGTTGCATTGCACTGTACATGTACATGTACACGTATTCATAACATTGCATGCTCAGTCTCGTCTGAGACACTTTGGAAATCGTTCTCATCTACGGTACCCCGTGCTACCAGTGCATATCTGACTCGGGCTGGCTAACTGACCGAGTCAGGCTCGGCCGTTGAGCTGTACACGTAAATGATATAACCACTATATGGATTCAGTTTACGTACATGTACATGTATGTACATATAGTACTGTGCCTCCCTTCAGATAAAGTATTGTTTGTGCAGATCCCTTGCCTTTTTCAGTGACACCAATCTGACTCTCCCATTCAAGCTGCTGTGCATGTACATGTACATTGCCACCATCTGAAAAACTCCAAGCTATTTCAGAATGGTAATTATTCCAAAAGTTTGAATTTTTCCTTGATGCAATAAAGAAGTCAAACAAGATTACACTGATATAAGGAACAAATAAACAATTTTGATCTCATGAGAATGTTACACTTCGCATGTGAAAGAAAATGATAACCTAGGAAATTGCTGATTGGAACTAGTTTACAATGATAAGGGTAAAGAATCAAGAAAAGAGCTTATTTAAACAAGATGATCTCGGAGACGAGAGCTTGGAAGGCACTACAGCAAAGAATGCTGATCTCTACCGATGGCAAAGATTAGTTCAGTCCTCGACGTTGCGAACATGAGCTGCGACGGGGACAAAGGCCACATTGAATAAGAATGACTGGGCTTGATGAGACGAAACGGAGAGGGCGTGATGACCCTAGTAAATACCGGACTCATTGATCCCACAAACTGGAACTGGATTCAGTTCACAAACTTTCTCTTCCAGAACAAAATTCAGCGCTGCAAAAATTGAAATGGTGCAGAAGTCGATAAGTCAACAACTTCCTTCCAAATCTGGCTTGGTGTGTGTGGCCCCCTCTCTCTTTGCCTGCCAGAGCCCGTCTTTATAAATGGCCTACACCTCTTTTATAAATTTCTTTTCATTCCCTGAGTTTCTTACAATACATGTAGATTGTTTAGCATTACTTTGTTTTACAAGAAACTTCCAGAACATACCGGTACACCAAACATCCAGAAATAATGCAATCTTGCAGTAGACCTCCAGAATGCTCAATCTGCCACACATACAGAGACTACGTGGGTATCTTCGGGTAAATGTACCAGTGCCTCAGACTAGTTGTGTTCCAGCCCTCCTATACTTTCTGTGTTACATTTTTTTAAAACATTTGTATGACTCCTTAAAAAAGTCACCGGTATTGCTCAAGCAATGCACAACCCGCGTGGTTGTAACAAAGTTACGTTGTGTACATGTACCAAGGAGGCCAATATGGGCTTGTGATTGCTGTTCATCGGGAAGGGCCTTAGAAATGGCAGTAATGCGTCATTTGAAGTTTTAAACAAGTTCATAAACCCACCCGAAAACATGTCAAGGGCCGGTTGTTTGGATTGTTAGCTTACACAAGGTACATGTACATGTTTACCGGTACATAACATGTTTAATATGGAACCTAATTTAAAATATTCGTACATGTTCATTTCATGTATTGTACATATACCCGTACATGTATCAGTTGAGTTGTTTGTACATGTATGTACATGTAGGTATCGAACATGGGTGCATGTACCTGGTAGGTACCAATGCAACTCCATCCCCTTCCATGCAACTCCACCCCCTCCCATAATGCTGTTTTTTCTCGGAATAAACAGGGACATGCTGTGTTACAAACCATGGCCTTGGACACCTTTGCAATGGAGCCATTTTCTCACTCTGAGTTTGGGCACAAGTGCTTTAAACAGTCCCTGGCAAACTAGTGGATTTCATTGATGTTATCACCATTATTAGAAGAAACCCGGATGCGTGCACTCACATATACAGGTACATGCCAAATAAACCACCGTCGATTTGAAATTTTCGAGCGCATCTGCAAGGATCACTCGCTGACTCCTCGAAGACTTTTGTAGAAAACTGCGCATCTTCTTTTTAATTAAACTTTTGTTTACTACAACAGTCGAATTTCGTTATTATACGAGTGTCTCAAGACTTAATTATCTCATATTATCCAGATCCTCATCTTAAGTATTTAAGTATTTTCCCACCCACGCGTCGTTTATCAATCGTACTACCAAAGATACCGGTAGGTCATGAATTTGCTTTCAAAACAGTTTGATTCTGTTCTTTATGAAAGTACCGGTATTGAGTGGGTTGTTGATTGATGAGTTGTTTCTCAAATACCCGTGCTAAATTGAGAAATACCGGAAAAACCCTTGTCTTAACCAAAATTTCGTATCACCCAAGCTTGTATTGAAGAATTTTTTCTTCAAAGGAATGTACATGTACACATTTTGATTGGGACCGGCAAAACATGCCCGTCTTAACTGAAATCTCCTTCTATCCGAGCTTGGGTTGCAGAGAGTCAACTGTGATTATTAAAGAAAACAGTTAGTTCCCCCAAATGGTGTATACAGTCGAACCTCGTTAATAAGAGATTCTTTGGACTTGGCAAATTAGCTTGTTACATGTATATTTCCTTGTTTTATGCAGAATCCTGCATTAACAGTACTCTTATTAACGAGAATGGACTGTATTGGGACTACAGGCTGACAGGCGAACGTTATCATCATGGTTCATATATTTCTCTTTGTCAGAAACTGCCAGCCCAAGTGTGCAATGCCCATCATTGATTGGTTGCTTGGCCCTTTGCCAGACTAATTTACGTTGAGCACGTATGCTCCGTGTTTTCCGAGAGTGTGTGAGAAGTACATGTACATGTACCCACCTGTAAATGCTGTATAACAAATTCATTCGGCGATACTGACTGCAATACCCTTTGCTGTTTCTTAATTATCAAAGAGCGAACTTTCAGGGTTCATCTACTGTGCATACATGTACAGTACATTGCATCTGAAAGTTAATACTGGATTGGGAGTCAGAAATGTTGTTAAACGAATTCACTTCTACATTCACACTCGCATTTCACAAGGCGTGAAAGCGACGGCCCACTTGTGAAATCGCACGGAAATGTTTTCCCACTTGTGTGGATATGTGCCAAAAGCTTTTCCCACTTTGGGAAAAATTTTCCATGATGTGTGATATGACAGTGAATTCCCTGGGAAGAGAAAAAAAGTGTGAAGAGAATTTCCGATTTGGCCAGCCCTGCCTTGTCAGCACAGTTTCTTTTGCCGGAAATTCAGGATACAGTCGTGGTTGTAAAAACTGGAGACTTTGTACATGTACCAGTTGTCTCTAAAAAAGAGCTATTAAAATGTGCCCCATAACATTTTTGGCCCTGCAATACATGTGTCTGTTTCAACATGTATCCAGTCACCACAACTGTGTAACAAAAATACTAACACAGTGTAATTACCGGGGTACATGTACATTGTACATGTACACATAGGTACATGCATGGTACATGTAGGCCTTCACTGCATTAAGGGGGCAATTTGGTTTTGTTAAAATAGTTGGGACCAAGTTGTCATGTGATGAAGACAAGGCTTTGTCCCCGTAATGTTTTGGTACCCATGCATCTCAACGTGTGCTCTTTTGCCATAACCCTTGGAAGAAATGCAGTGCATGCATGAGTGGACCTTCCCTGCGGTTTTGATAGGGTACGTGTAGTTGGATCTGCAATGTTTGGGACAAAAATTTGTCCCCATAACGTTTTGGGTCCCCATTTCAACATGCCTGTTGTCTCCATAACCCGGTAGCAAGTACATGTACATGTACTGTACATTGTACGTTTCATCACATGTGAATGAAAAGTATTCTAGTGGTGCATGTGCAATATACAAGTGCGTGCGTGCGCTGTGGACTTTATTGTTTCTACTGTACTAGCCTTTATCTTTCCTCTAACCCATGCCCATGCCCCCATTTTTATGCATACTGTAGAGTGTACATGTACATGTACAGTACGTCTCCTACGGCTGAGCATTCAATGTGACATTTCCTAGATTGCGCAGTTGTACCGGTAGTTGTGGACTGAATGAATAACCATCATACTTAAGGCAGCTTACCACGTGTACCTTTTTTTGGGTGCGTTGTGTGTACGATGGGTTCATGCGTTTCACTTTCATGGACGCAAAAATCGACCCTGTATGTACATGTACACATGTATGTACCTGTACAGGTCTCAAATTTCAATGATGTTAGGGCACTGCCATTTTGACCTCAGGTACCTGTAAGTGAACATTTTAAGGGGCACCGGGGCCATGGGCAACAAGGCCATTTTTTTGATAAAGGAAAGGCAAAAAGGCCAAACACTGTTTTGGGGCCATCAAATAAAGAATCACCTTAAACTCCGGTGAAGCGACAAGAACAGATCTGGAGAGGGGGAATCGCCTCATCTCCCCTGACCAAAGAATAAAAAAGCAAAGCTGTAAACCAGTTTTAAAATGCAAAAGAAATAAAATTGCCTCCTCTTTGGATAAATCCTGCCTGTCTCACATGCTTTACTTATGAGTCGTGCGCACACCTCCGGCTCTGCATGACATAGCGTCTTCTTGTGTTTTGCTTTCTGGGAATTTATTGGCTATGGCTAGAATATGTACATTGCAATATGCAGACGTAGCCCTGTACAGCATGACCGTTGTGGAATGGACGCGACTTTGCATGAAGTGAATTTCCCGAAGCTTGTAGCACGAAGACGATCGTCATTCGGCCACACCACAAAACTAATTCTTTACCTGGATTTAAGATCGGCAACTTACGGGAAATAAAAGGTACAGTTTCGGGGGGCACCACGGCCGAGATGACATGGGCACACGGCCATTTTTGGCCATGGACCGAGTGCCATTTTCAAGGCGCCGATTGCCAATGAAAGGGCACCGATCACCATGGCCGCAGTGGCCGCGGTGAAATTTGAGGCCTGCATGTATACGCATTTATGTACTGGCCGTGTACATGTATTTCAACTGAAAGCTAGTACGATTACATCTCTTACATGTCCGTTTGCAGCTGTCATGATTTGAGACACTTTTCTCCCTCCCCCCCTCCCCCAACAGTAAATTTACTCAACTCACAACAAACTTATGAATTGCCCGCCAGGGGAACTCAAGTAAAGAGTGATGTGACATTGGTACATGTATATAGTCTAAAATGTTGCAGACATGTGAATCTATCTGTAATTAGAAGTAATTGCAGTTGGCACAGGTGCGTCACAGTAATCTGATCCCCCAGGCTTAATGTATGTATACACAAGAAATCCAATTGATTGCCTGTTAATGTACAGCCACACATCCGTTGGACTCTCGAGCAAATTAAATCTTCCGTTTGTTTTGGTCACAGGCCCGGGCGTGCAGCGTCCTCAAAATGCCAGGCCCCGGCCAAACTTACAAAATGTAAACCCGGGGATCGGCCAACTGCCTTACCCGTAGCCAGTGTAAATCAAATCATCGCAGACAGCTTTATGTTGTTGTGGGAGTCTCGAGCGAATGGGAAGGGGGAAGGGTTAAGAAATTCGGGGCGACAGGCAGACGGACAGATGGAAAGCCAGGGTGATATTTTCGGTTTGAGCATCCATTTGTTTGGGATGGCATTCCATCATGGGGGTTAATGGACAGTGAGTGGGAATGCCACCACCTGCTTCGGTGCCGGCAAGGTTGAGCGGAATGTCGCGATGACGGGTGTCTAGACCATCTTGCCCCCAGTTTGACCACTGCAGGGGAAAAGAAAAAAACAAGATGTCTTTTGCATCAGTGTTCAACTTCTTGGAACTTGACAAAAAAGGGGGAGGATTCCTCTGCCTATAATGGACATTTTCATGTTGCGGGTATGATGAGATACAACTTTGAAGATCATTTTTGCTGGAAATGAAAAAGGTTACATACGGTGTATGGTTTTGGTGAATGAAGTTTCATTTTGTTTTTATAATTGATTACAGTTTATGGGATGCACATGTAAGAAGGAAGGGGAATGATATTTTAAAAGGTGCTGATTTTGGGATTTTTGCATGCACTGTGCCCATCATCAGATTTCTTCAAACTTATCACAGTAATCTGTAGCAAAGCTTTTTTAAAAATGGTGACTAGGAGTTATCAATTACATGTAGGAATCAAAAAGGACTATGTACATGTATGTACATGTACATGTACAAGGACAGATCCTGTGGTGCTTGCTTTGAACATCCAGCAGTTGTTCAATGCCCCTCGCCTTTAGTAATGCACGAGCTCAGAATTCACATGCAGTATTACATTTTAGGCACAAGTCATGCAAGTGGTCAGGGATGTCTCCAGAGGGATATTCCCTGCTGGCATATTACATGCTAGTGCATGCCGGCATTAGTAGGAGGCATGTTGCCAAGAGGTTTACCGTAACTCCAGAACATGGAGTCAGGGTTCAAATCCAGCAGCTGGTTTGGTGTTACGACCTTTGGCAAGTCACTTAACTCCCACCCACCTCTCTTTATCCAGGTGTACCAGTCTATGATAGGTACAGCACGGTACATGTTCATGTACATGGGTCATTTTATAAATTAGGGATCCAATTGGTTTGTGTCCTTGTTACACTGAAATCTGATTTTGTAAGCTCAGAACACATTGTCTAATTTTCAAGAGTGATGGATGAATTCAAATTTGCCTAACAAGAATAATCAGAAATCAATTTCAGTGATACTGGTATTTCCATGTCAAATGACACAGGTCAGGTGTAACCGGGACACAAAAATGTCACACTTTTGGACCCTGACTTTATGAACATGTACATGTAGAATGGCCCACATGTACATGTACATGTACATGTACAGTGTTTGATTAGCCTGTTTGATTGGCCGTTTATGTCTTAAGTGGTAGTCTTGATGCAAGACGTCCCAAGTGTGGTGGTGCATTAGATAGTGATGCATTGCTCTCTTTAGTCGTTGACCGATAGAGGGCACTTCACTGTGGGCCGACCGGTTTCGTCTACGTGAACGTGTACAGAATGTCCTCTAGTGGTGATTCGGGGTGTGTGTGTGGGTGTGTGAGTGAGTGATGTGATGACGGCAGACATGCCAGGTGGTCTTGCAGTGTGAAAACAGGGCCAAGAACATCTTGCACCAAGACTACTGAAGTGGCCGCACAGAGCTGTGTACACCCCAATGAGCTGAGTTAAGGAATATGTACACATGAACAAGGGTAGTTTTGATGTAGAGTATCTTGTGCACAAGAATGGTACATGTAGATCCATGTGCATGAATAATTTTATACAGACTCATTAGTATAACTACATGTATTATTAACATTGGCACAAGCCACATGTTACTTCTTGGAAGCTGACAATACATGTATACAATCCATAAAATCCATACATCTATAGACTCTCAACATCAGACCATGTAACGGTACATGTATGCTTGTACCTGCAAGTAGCGTACATGCATCATGTAGCAACAAGGACTTTCAGTTGAGGGTTTCTTTTCTCTCCTCAGACTGACCATCTGCAAAGTTTTCACGTGCATAATTCAAATGCATTGTGTGCTCGAAATGACTCCTCGTGAGCCGGGTATGCTTCTGACACACTTCACTAATCCAATTTCTTTTTTCTTTTTTAATATCCCCTGCATCTCTCACAGCCGGAGAGAATCGACCCGCCTGACCCCGCTAACCCAGATTACGATGTCAGGGCAGACGTCTGGAGCCTTGGAATTTCCCTGGTGAGTGCAAACAAGTTACAGAAGTCACTGCTTAAGGGCCGTTGTAATTTGCGTAATTTGTGTATACGCAGGTAACTCAAAAATTATCGAAAAGCAACATAAATGAGTTGGAGAAATTCTCGGTACAAAGTACCCCAAAGGATTCACTTGTACATGTACCTTGAAGAGGCTGCTTCTGTGGTCAGAGGTCAGGGGTGTCACGTGCATCCCAGGGAGGCTTGACGGCAGCCATCAGCCAGTGGCATTCACTAGTGCACACGTCATTTCGGAAAGAGCCCAAAGAAGTCATGACACTTTTGCCCAATATCTTTACCCTTCCAAGCATACAGTGTTTGACGCTGACAGAGCCCCGGACTGTTTTGAACTACGTGTATCGAGACAGGCCTTGCTCTGTGAAGTACACGTCGTGATGCAACGGAAGTAATCTTCATGCACACTGGAGCTTCTGCCCGTCCTCATTGTGAAAGATTTACTGCCGGTCACAAGCAATGAGCCAGTCGGGTATTCGTACCGTGTGTGCCCAAAATGAAGCACGTGTGGGTCATTCGGATGCACCTGCGAGGTCTACCCCATCTACGCGGACCAGCCCAGGTGTCTCGTTCCCGGATGATCTTGCTGTTTTGAAATACTGAACTGGCTCATTGCCTGCTACAAGTATACGTACGTGTACTGTCGTAACTGCTCAGCACCATGAAATGATTCCCTGGAAATGTTTTCAAGATGTGATGCAAAACTCAAAAACATGCACATGTATATGCTCTGTACACATGTAGGCACGCTGTTTTCATTTACAATTTTCATTATTGAGCTGGAAAAGTCTCATTCTGCCTCACTCAAGAATTCGCATGCCGTGTCGGATTCGGGATGTTTTCGGGGGGAGGGGAGTCGTTGCTGAGCTGTTCAAGTCATCTTTGCACATAAACCAAAGGGCTTGTACCGTACGTTAGCAGTGAACTGAGATTTGCATTGTATAGTACATGTGTGCCCCATTTCAGGACCGGAAATTTGAGATTGCATGTACAGTGTATGTGTATTATGTTTCACGTACATGTATTTCTACACTGTACATTGGGAATAATGAGCATTGGTCAGACAACATAAGGAATGTGATTAGCTACGGCGCACATGTACATACATGTACATACTGTACTCGTATGTACCCTATAGAGGTTATAAACGGCAGACTTCTTCCTATTGGGTTCTTTTGTCACTAAAGGTCTACCCATGTGTATCCCTATGGAACAAAAACACAGACTGGGAGTATTGCTGCCATGCATAGCCTCCAGTAACCATCTTGACATCAGATGACCTGTAGACACACAGTTTTCCTTATTTGTTTACACTCGTTTAAGACTTCTTCATTCGTTTCTGCGTTTGATGGTGGTATTAATGCGTCGTGCTTGGTTGCGTCACAGATAAATTGCAAGTTCAAAGAATTTGCAGGGAAAAAAATTCACCCCCCGGCCGCTTTTTCGGGTAAGAAAATCCGACGTTATCTAGCTATCAAGTCTCTCCCTCCCTCCAAATCTTCCCTTGTGAGATGCATGTAATTTGAAGGAAAACAGGTCTGACGTCTGGTCTTGTTGTCATGGAAATTAATGAAACAGGCCTCCAGGTTTGGTCCAGCACTCCCGGGGATGAATTGGATGTCAATCAAGTAAAAATCTTGTCTTCTGAAAGTCCACAAATGCGAGCCTCATTACTGTTCACAGTGGGAGTTGTTTGAAAAAAAAAAAAATACTGGTCGGTAGGTTTAATGACAGAGCATACATGCACTTTACTCTGTTCAATCGTGTCGGTGTGTACATGTACTTATAGTGCATACATTACTGTACATTTGTATTATTTGAGGAGATGCCATAACTACCTGAATTGAAGCAAGGGATTGTACAGTACGTACATTCTCATGTGCATTGAAATAGAGAGTTACATTTACCTGATATCCGAGGACCGGTACTTGGCCGATGTTATTATGGCACCAATTAATAAAGTTTTCAGACAGAGAAGAATTTTTTTTATAACGATGAACCACCTGCTGGTGGGTCCCCCTCCCCGCTCCCCCAACCCTGTCCCCCTTTAGACCTGAACACCGTGAACAACATGGCCAAACTTTGTGTCCAGCACTGGTTTGGAGTAATGTTGGGACTCAAGAAGAAGATTATTTCTTAAAGGGTTTGTGGGGGAAGTTTTAAAACACGTGTAACTCCAGGCCACGCAGAAAGTACTGATTTCACGTTTATGTCCAAACGATTGTCAACCCATATTTCAGGTAATTGGCCGTTTCAAAGCATTGTCAATTTTTGCTTTTTTCTCCTATAGTTACTCGTACCGGTGCACTCTCGCTCCAACCTGTTTGAACTTACATGCAGTTCCCAATCTGTTCATCTTACCAAGGGCAGGCATTCCTGACTGGCACAAATATGTGCATGCCTTTAAGGATGATTTGTCCAGAGATTGGTGTTTCCAAAGAATTTGCTGATTGGCAGGCATTGGCCCTGCGGATCAAATGCAATACTATGCATGTGTTTGCACTGCTGGTCCCTAGACTCTCAGCACAGTGATAGTTAATGTACATGTATCCCAAGGAAATTGATTAACATGTTAATTCTGGCATTTAGTCCCTTCGTGTTTTGTTTTTGATCTACAGATTTTGTTTTTCACCAGTTCCTGTCATGTTTACTGCCACCATTTCTTTTTCATAAGAGTTGTGTTTGTGAAGGGATGTGTTTCCTCAGACAACTGATTAACAAGCATTGCAGGGCTGAAAATCACCTACCCAAGTTTGGTCACAGTTTTATGGTACCGCTAGCTTCTTGTATGCTTGGAACGCTTGAAGGAAGCTTCAAAACTTTCTTTATTACTTTTTCTTGCACTGGGAAATGGATTTGCAAAATGTACATGTACTTGGACATTGTATTCAACAAATTATTGTTGAATTTCAAAGGTCCTGTTGCACATTTCTGATGTCTAAACATGGCAACATGCACAGAGTACATGTATGTTTGTGTTTTCAATTTGTGCCTGACATTTGTAGCCCCCATCTGAGAATTCAGCCTTTTAGCCGATTTCAGCTTTTTTTGTTTAGGGGTAGACCCTGAATTTCAGCTTTTTTTTTGCACACCTGGTTGGTACAAAAGTATGGGAACTTTTTACATTTCAGCTTTTTGCTAGCTGTTTTCAGGTTTAATTTAAGTAAGTGGCAATTCACACCCCTGATTTAACATGCTGAGAAATTTCTGGAGCTATCGGGTAATTTCTCCTGTGAGAGTCAAAATTAGAGTCTGATCTTTGGGAGTTGAGACCACTCATTAAAGGTTGATTGAAGTTAAGCAGCCCCCTTAAGGCAGTATCAGAATATGGCCGGCATGGTATTACATTCAGCAGTAATTGCCCAAAACAAGGTTCTGCCGTACATGTACAGTACCTTGCAGCCAAATGAAAGCCTGGAGTCAGGTGAGACCATTTTTGTTATTGTGTGACGGCTCACCCCCTAAGCACATTGACATTTGATGGTCATTGACCAAGCAGTCCTTCCCCACACGTGTAATTAAGACCGGGTACGTCAGTGTGTGTCTTGGCAAGATCCTGTGCACTGGATATCATGGAATATATCTATGTGAATGTACATGTACCAGTACTTCAGAGCTGAAGCTGTGAAAGGGTACATGTACATGTACAATGTGTGCTGGTGTTTGGAAAACCTAAATGTTTTGAAAGCAAATTGGCAAACCTTGAGTTGGAAGGATTACAAAAACAGGTCCTTTTAATCCTAGAGGCCTAAATTTCCCTAGCTGGAGGCTGTGGTGGAGCTGCCAGTAGCCTGGCACAGTCTGCAACTTATTTCGTCAAGATACATGTATCTGATTGGCTTGTGTACAAATCTCAGAACATGCTCAGAACTTCTGAGGCTGCATTGGACAGGATCACGACGGGACCAGAATTAGTCACAGTCTGCTTGTGTTGGTAGTACAGGCATTTTATTGTAAATTACGGCACAACCTTGGACAAATTGCAACAGAAATTTTTCAATGTTGTGTTCATTTTATTACGTATCAAAAGTCTTCCCCTGGGGAGGGAGAGTATTGGAAATTGAAATTGCCACATTTTCAAGCTGGAAATGTACTTCTCAAAAGCATGTTGGCATTTCCTGTGTTAAGCATACACGTATGTTGTATATACTATGCCTAAACTGGTTGAATATGATGTGACTAGAATAGGGATAGAAGTAACTCTTAAAATGATCAGAAGCAACGTGAGATGCAGAGGATTGTTAACCACTTGCCGCCAGGGTTCCTGGTACCAGAGACCTTGGCCTTATCATGGCCGGGGTACCCTATATCAGAACTTTCTTTAAAAACAAAGTTGCTAGGCATTTTTAGAAAGAGTTTACTTGCTGTCAGTCAACAGTTTAGGCCATCAGCATAATTCCATCACCGATAGGCAACAACGGGTTCCCCGGGGCCAGAGAACTGGGCCTTTATTCGTGGAATATAGAAAATACTTTAATAATAGACGGAGCTGCTGGGACTTGCCAATTAAGGTTCATACATGTATGCTGTGAGTGCAGAATGCGAGCACCCGCAGATTATCAACAGGGACAAAAGCGCTCCAGCACTCCAGCGATACAATACTGCTGCATGCTCGTGGAATCTGGCCGCATTAGTAAAGACAACACTGCCATCCAGCAACACACTGGGCCAATTTCCGGATCAAAGAGGGAATTATGCAACAGCACAATGGGACTCTTTACTGTGCGACAGGCATGGCTGCAATACTTGTGCGTCAGTGGAGGTTGCCTGTCAGATAAGTCTCGCCGCAAGACAGTCATTCGTTTGAGTGTACACAGTAAATGAGATATGCATTTTTGAAGAATTTTGAAACTGGAAAATCATGAAAAATCACCTGGCAGCAGGTCATACATGTACATGGGCTAACTCCACCCGGCATGAAGTGGTTAAAAGAGATACTGTCACCAGATCATTTCTGGGAACACCAACCTTTTAGACGGCTAAGGACAGTGAGGTGTCTGCCACCGTACCGGGTACTTTAAGGCGATGATTTCTTAAAAGCATAGTCACTCTGAATCCAAACTCCTGTCACCTTTGTTTTGCACTGTAACATCAAGTACAACTGTACATGTCAAGGATCAACAGATGTCCGTTTTTAACTGCTGACATGATGTGCAATGTTTTAATCGGAACATCCGCCAATGTCCGATCCGATGTCCTTGAAAACGTAACCTTAGCATGATGTAGGTCTACCGGTACATGTACTAACACAAGAGCGGTGCGCTCCCTCTAAGTGTCAGTTTACATATGAATGGCATTAGTTTTGTTGCCTTTATTGTCAAATGATATACATGTAGGTTGCGCTCCATTGTATTCACACCCAAAGCACGCGGTGCACGCATGCATGTACATGTACACGTAGCTTGCTCATGTACCGGTACATGTGGGGTATGCAGCATAGACTTGCAGCAAAGCTTCTGTACCCATTTTTCCTGTGAGTCCAGTCTGGTTGTGAAAATGGGCGTGTCGTTATGACCCATTAGCATCTAATGAATATTGATTTTTGTGATTGCCTTACCGTGGAGAAGAAATACCACGGTGTGTGCACTTTAGGCATTTATAGCACGCGTAGACGTGGACGACAACACAAACTTGAAGAATGCTCTCAATCTTCAGAAACTCGAAGAATGTCAATCCCGGTTCTTTCACAGAATTTATGGCACATCCACCAGTGACACATAATTTCGGCATTACTGAAAATCATGAAGAAAGGAGCACAAACTCTCGATGGAAAAGGGATAATGCGGCACAGTAGACTCGGCATACAGATCGATGTACGTGTACGGTACATGCACATGTACATGTAGCTCCATGTTCATGTACATATACATTTGTAGTGGAACCAGTTATGCCATTGATATCAGTTTCAATGTTTTCTCTGGTCTTATTTACACCATACAAATTTCGTTTTGCAACAGTACTGCCAGCGGTCAGATTGTGGAAATTTTTCATAGAACTCGAAGACACCGTTTAAAAGTTTCGGCAAAATTATACAAAATATAGATGCAATACAGACATGATTTGGTAATGAATATGAACA